GTAATCCACAAAGCGCACTTTCCATTTTACGAAAAAAAAAATGAGGGTGAACTCTTTGACTTCAAGCAAACAAAGGAAGAGGACCGCGCATTCGAATTTCGCCATTTCTTATCGATTACAGAGTTTGCAAGGCCTCATACTACCCCCTTCTACTGTGTTTAAGTGCAAGAAGATAAAAATAAAACCCACAACTTCCGCGTTACTACGGCCCGACTTCCGCAGAAAATACTCGGCTCGATGCGGTGCTGCTCGCTGTTTCTCAACCACCGAATCGATGAAAAGCCGGCCAGACCCGGCTTCGTACCGAACCCCTCCCACCACTGCCCCGTATCGCCATGACTACAGGCACAGCAAACCACCAAAGGGACAACACTATAGCCCCGTCACGGAAATGCGGCCACTCCATCATAACGAGAGGATCAGGACGCCTCGCTTCTCCACGCAGGTTATCAAAACCCCATCGGTGTAGGGGCGTTTCGTAAAGTGAAAGCTGTGTTTCATTTCCGCTCTCGTGGTGTAGACCGAAGCCGTAGCTTGCGATAACCCTAACACTGCACGGCAATGCGCCATCGACGTTATAGGTTGTAGCGCGAGCATGCGAGGCACTTATCCCAAGGTGGTCGTGGTTGCAGAAAAACGTTATCGTGTCGAAAAACCAGATGCGCTCCGACCCATATCAATTTGAATGTTTATGGTGATAAAAAACAAAGTGTACCCTGCATCATGCTGCTTTTTCAGAGTGAAATAACGATTACATAGAATGCAAGCTTGATAGGATTCAAGATGAAAGTGACTCGAGTAAGTTTAGACACTCAATGTCTTAAAACCTTACTTGGCCACCTCGGTGCTGTTACTGCAAGTTCTTGCTCTCGTTATGCCCTAAATGCATATCTATGGTAAGAGCTCTATGTATATTCAACAACCACGCAGTCGCCTACTACCTCACCGGTGTTAAACGCATGTGTATTTGAAAACATTTCGTTCCGTCCTCCCTGTAACAAGCCTCCACAGAGGGTTAACAAAACGACCAAATAGAATAATATATTTGGCCACTACTCTTCACTGTATATTTACTCATCCGCTTCCTTAATTCCCTATGTATACAGCTTGCGGTAATTATATCCGGGGCTTTACATGCCAAAACTATGATTTAATCTAGAGGCACACCGTAGTGGTGGACCTCGGAAATGTTGACCAACTGGTGTTCTTTGACGTGCATTGACATCGGACAGTACGTGGGCTCCTGGCACTTCGCCATTATCGAAATCCGCGGTGTGGATTCAACCAGACATCTTCGGGTAAGCAGCCGAGCTCCGTAAACGCTTCTCCCCCAGGCCATACTATCCGGCTAGTTAGTTATCAGTCGCTCTCACTCCAACTGTGCCGCTTTTTCGAACGCTTTCTTCAGCTCTCCATGCTTCTCAGTCTACCACGTGAGACTGCGGTCAACGTCACTTGCGATCTCCGCTCTTTGGAGAAACAAAAATGAGAGCTCCTACGATGCGATCCCCACAAAGCTCGAAGCTATCGACAAAAAGGACAGAGACCTGGCGCGAAGTTGTGCCAATCCACCCGATGCACGCATGTGCGCCACCGCTAACCCGAGCTGCAGAGAAGACACTCCGATTTCCAATTTCCGCCCGGGGAAAGGAGACTATGGCACCGGAGGGGGCCAGAACCAATCGACGCTGGGGTCTGCGAAGCCGTCGCGAATGCGAAAAACGCCGAGAAACCCAATGCTCAACACCGGAGACGAGAGAGTTCCAGTGTGCCACCACGGGACGCGGAAAAATATGCTCGCGTTCAACCCCTTCGCGACGGGTGAATCGGGAGCCCGGATGTTGCTGCTATACTACCTTCACTAGAAGAGACAAACAAAAACAAAGACAGAGATAGGCAGTGGGAAGCGCTTGGGAAAAACAGGCAGAAGTAAAATGCATAAGCTTCAAAGCGTAAGTTCAAATAGTAAAGCAAAGAGCAAACAAAACGACCGAAAACAGATTTAGTTCCCGGGGAAGCTTTCTAGCGAGACGGGAGTATTGAAAGTCCACCACCGCGAGCAGGAAATGGGATTCGGTTGACCAGTGGTTCGAACGGCGTTGCGCAGTGGCGACGGAGGCAACGAACGATAATGGCGCGCAATTTTTTTATTTTTTTTAATACACTGCATGAGGAAAGGTAGTAACCCTAAAGTGTAGTGTGAATTACGGAGGTGTTTTTCCCGCGTGGGTGGAGGTATTCCAGAAGGCACGAATGCCAGGAGGAACCCCGATACCTTTTGACGGCGCGCAACCAATCGAAGCAAATTTTGCATGCATTCAACTTACCATCTTTTCAGGGTCTAAACATTCACTATGCGCGATTTATAAATTGACAAATAACTTCAGAAGGCCAAGATAGCCTGCATATACATCTCTTTTTGTAGGAATTCATAAAATGATAGTCGTAAATGTTTCTCTATTATCGCCTTATTGACAAAAGCGTGCTTGTTTTTTTTTCTTTTTTTTTGGCGTTTGCAAAATTTCTGTTTGAGCATTTTTTTCCAGATTTTTGCATATTTAGAGAATTTTTTTGTGAAAGACTAGTAAAAATGCTAAAAAATGGTCGTTATGACTTAAGGTAAATGTTACATTGGACGCTTCTGATGTCGAAGCACACCTTTGTTAAAGATAAATGGCAGTTACATTGAGCATCATTAATAAAGTGATTTGACTGATTACACTGATTAAGGACACAATTTTCTTGTGAGCAGCTGGCCTTATTACGTCACCCGGCGCAGCAGATTTCAATGACGCACAATTATGCACTATGATACTTGAAACGCAACTAAGCACATAATGAGTAGCTTTAAACTTTCAGTAGCCACGGCTGACGAATGGCGAATACACCAGATTTTCGAAGACGGCGTGTCCATACACAATTACGAGGCCGCTATAACCGACTCTACAATAAACAGCCATAGTAAAGCAGAAAGTTTGCAGTCGGCAAACGTTTTTATTGTCGTCTTTTCGCATGCAAATTAAAGATATAGCTCTGCCATCTGATTGGGATTAGAATGAGGATGTCTGTTGGTTGTTGCTCGATCGAGCCTTGCAATATTTGTAGCAACTGCCCCACACGGTTCTCTTTTTTTTTTGGTAATGTAGAACTATAACAGTTCTCTTAAAGCGACGTGGGATCATGCTTCTATAGCACGTTGAGCGCTGCGCGACACAGCCATGCCTTAGCCGGTGGCCTGGGCATGGTTGCTCATGATTGCCAACGTCTCTGTGCGCGAATAACGAAATAACTAGAGTGTGTCATTTAGATAACACTAACATTACAAACATCGCTAAAGTGGGCTAGAAGGTAGCTCACTTTAAAATCGCTTCCCCCCGTGCTGGTACTCTAAGAAGTTGGTTGCAGAGGCGTCAGTGTAAGGCATCTATAGTCAGAAAGGGTGACCGAAGTGAAACAATGCATTAATTTGGACTAATAAATTATTCTCCGACAACTTAAGTGCAGTTCATTGCACAGCCAAAGGTTTACAATAAATGTTAAAATGAATGTCAGAAGTTTCTATATTAAAATTTTCGCAGAAGTCACCAGAGGCTGCATGCCGTATTTTGGCCGCATTGGCGACGAAAAATTTCCAGAAACTTGGGTCAAACATTGTGAGATTCTGGGCTGTGGCTGGCCTCCAAACCCTCAAAAGACGAGACCAAGACACACAGGGAACCATCTTTAGTCCACCGAGTCTCGGCCACGACTGCCCGTCTGCTCTTAAACTATTTAGCTCCTTCTGAAGACAACTTAGTTCGTTTTTATTTATTCGGGACTGCATAGGCCCTTCAGTGAACACCACCAAGCACCCACGACGTGAAGACGACAGGTGCGTGAACCTCAAAGTGACGTGGCAGCCTGCACTTCTTTTTCATGAGTTGTGTCGCTTACCGAGCATCTTCTCGAACTATGTTTGGTATTTCTTGGTGTCATGAAAACGGTTCGCTCTACCTGACGACCAAAATTTACTCTACGACTAAATAAGCATACTACTGCTCATGCATGACGTAGTCGATTATCATCATCAGCCGCAGCCTTATTGCGCCCACTGCAGGCCAAAGGTATCTCCCATGTTCCGTCAATCAGCCAAGTCCCGTGCTTTCTTCTTCCACGCTATGCCTGCAAACTCCTTAATCTAATCTGCTTACCCAATTTGCTTACCTAATTTCCAGTCGCGTATACCTTCAAGTCAGTTAAAGTAATCTTTAACGACTTGCGGTTATCCTGTTTACGCGCTACGTGCCCTGCCCATACTCATTCTTTCTTCTTGACTTCGACTGTGTTGTCCTTACACACCGCTTGTTCGCTGGCCCATTCTGCTCTCTTCCTGTCTCTTGAGGTTACACCTACCACTTTGCTTTACATCGCTAGCTGCGCCGTCTTCAATTCAAGTTGAACTCTCTCGAATGAGGGTGAAAGTAACTTGAAAAAAAATCACAGCATATCCACGGAGTGAATAACGATGAGTGGGGTGAAACGTCCATCCGTCCATCTGTCTGTGTGTATGTCTGTCCGTGCAGGCGTTTATGCATCCGATCGCGTTCGAGAATGTAGACGGCGCATGGGTAACACCGACGAGACGCGAGCCAAGGAGGACCAGGCGCAAGCGCCATCAACGTGCCCGCTGCTTGGCTTCGTCCATGCCGCACCAACGATCCGCCACGTATGGCGAATATCCAGGAGATTGAGAGAAGCACACGTTTTCCGCGTACCCAGGCACAGCCCGCGCAGCAGCCAGTCGGAGAGTAGCGGTACAGCGCCATCTAGAATATCCTCACTCAACTGATGTTTGTATGTACTTCTATAAGACAGCGCCGTCTATTATACTGTTCGGGAGCTACTGCCTTCTTTCCTTTCTCGTCTCTTTTCTTGGTACGCGGGACGCTTGACAAGGTTAGACTACGAGGAGCTTCGTCCCTAAAAGAAATAGATGGCTGTTCTGCAAAAGCCACACGTACCGGTGACCTTGTCGCGGATGAGCTTGCAGGACTCGACCTCTCCGATGGAGGAGAAGAGGGAGCGGATCTCCTCCTGCGTCATGGTCTGCGGCAGGTAGTTGACGATCAGGTTCGTCTTGGAGTCCTCGGCCGAGCCCTGCTGCTGCTGCTGCGCCGACGAGCCATGCAGCGTACCATTCTGCTGCGAAGACTGCACCGACGGACCGGTGTCCATGCCATTCATTTGGGAAGCTGTGAGGAAAGAGGAGAGTGGGACACACTCTGAAACACCGGGGCAAGTAGCTTCACAGAGCACTGCGCACGTTACTAGACTCGATAAGCACTCGTCTTAACGCTTGAATTAGCGCACAGAAACGAGACGCAATAGGAACATGACCATACAGGATGACCTGCAATCTGAATTACAGACTTTGGATATTTTTTTTCTGAAGATCGCCCTAAACGTTTCTCATTCCTTCCTATTCAAAAGTCATCAATGCACATGGTGTACTGCTGTTCCTTATGTGTATTATCTTGTTCCTATCCCCCCCCCCCTTTTTTTGTTAACACATACGAAAGTTCCGAGTGCAAGGCCTGCCCTGTCGAGTCATTTCGTTGAATCTGTGTTGTGTTTGCTTAGCAGGTTTATATAATCTGTCACCAACTCACCGAAGTTTCGACAACAGCCTATTTCACTAGTAGTCTTGACATTTCACACACTCAATTTAGGATTATATACACAACCAACTAATTTGTAACACAACGACGTCAATTCCATCACTCAACACTAATGGTCACCGCATTTTTTGCAGCCACTCGTCTTTGTAGTTCATACCGCTAACACTGAAAGTGTTGCGTTCCTAATTACGGGTGGATGAATCAATGTTGATGATGCAAACATTAATCGGTTGATTTCACTGCAGTCAAAATCACGAACAGGCTTGTCGATTCATCCGTGCATAACAGAGCCCTTCGCGGGTTAGACCTGTTTTTTGTGGAATTTGCCATTCTGTATCTGTGTTGCACACAAGACACTCCAAGTTGTTTATTACGTGACCACAAACACGCTCTCTACGTAGCCCGCTGAGGGGGCCATGACTGCGCAACAGAAATGCCCGTCTACCTTTTGGTTAACTTAATCAAGATCACAATCAACACTGGCCGCCCAATACTCTCTTACGCTGAAATTGACAATTTGCACTGCAATTGCCAATGCTTGAAAACTTGAGACCTTATGAACGTACTATCTACAGCAAAATTTTGCGGTACACGAAATGTTGAATAAAGCTAAATTCTTGGTTTTTCTTGGAATGTAATTCCGAAATAAATGTTCCATACTGCGCTTGGCATTCGAACCTATACAGTCACCAGCTTGATTACAAGCATTAAGCACTGATATAGCAGAAATTCACATTTGTTATGGATCCGACGTCCCACAATATTTTGCTGGTGATATTACATCCGTGAGCCAATATATACGGATCGTTGTTGTCAGTGCGCGCCATCTACTGTTGAGGACATTTCTCTGATGAATTGCGTCAGAGCAATGCTCCCGACAGCAGATGACATGCCAGTAGACGGCGCAGACAGCGATACCGGCACTTGCTTCCACGGTCCGTATACTCCTGCTCAAGGGTGTACGTGCCGATAATACTAAACACCGAGTATCCGCAACAACATAGAAAAGTGAATCAAATCACTATCGACGGCTCATCGTGGCAAGATGGCAACTCCGAAGTAGAAAAAAAGAAGTTCCACTATCCGGTTCTAACCAGTGACCGCAATCAGCAACCACCGCGCGGAGAACAGTTCCTGCTGGAAGCAGCTGAGTATAAATGAGAGCGAACAGAACACGGGGCAGTAACTGACGAGCCAATACGATGGAACAAGCCAATGGGCGCTGCGTAAATAAAGCAACGCTGCCTTCTTATTCACTCGGGCCATAGCGTACAGTATACGCTCTCACATTCTCTAGCCGCCACCGAGAAAACGAACGGCCAAAAAGCAGCCAGTCGGAAACTCCACTGTTCCCTTCACCGCGATCTATATTTGACGCCGCAGCAGAGATGGTGTTGCTGCTGTTGCTGCCAGCACTCCTCATTTCCCGAAACAGTCCCCGAGAGAGACGATGGTAAAGCGGGAAAACGGGAAAGAAAGCGAAAAAGACTGACCCCTCTTACACCACAAGATAGAAAGAGAATATCACCAAAAGAAAAGATAGGAGAGACGCAAATGGCCTCAGAGAGCCGACCCCCGCTGCGGCCAAGGTCTAGGCTCGCCCGAGGATTACCGGCGTCATCATCATTACAGCAGCTGCCGGCCATTGGAGAGCTCGCACTGGGATGGCGGTGTGGCCTAAGCGCCGTCGCCTTCCTGTATGCCGAAGGCAGGCGTCGGTCAGGCTGTCTATATATAGACGTATCTAACATTCGTGATTGGCCAAGTCGCCGGATGCCCCGTGTGCTTCCACTGGATGATAAAACAACGTGGCCGCAGAAGCGTTCGACTAATCCCAGTATAGTATGAATGACTCTTGCGCATCAGGACGGCGGTGTGAGAACGCCGTTTCGCAGAATGCGATTTGACTCACGGCGTTCACTTTGCGGCTGTGATTTTAACACTCGTGAACTGGTAAATCCTGTTCGGCTGGCACCGGCCACCGATGTTGTTGCTCATTTATGCGCTAAGCCAAAAATCCAGATCGGTAACTTTAAAGCGCATAAAAAGTCTACACATTCCAGCCAACCTGCGTGCAAGGAATTAAAACTACCCCACCCGTCATGGAGAGAAATAGAAAGTATGGATGGAAATAACTTTATTCGTACGTCCTGTACAGGGTGTTTCCCCCTGCATGGCCACCAGCCTGGCTCACAGTCACCAGTTTGACTTGTTCACAACAACGTTAAACTCATCTCGAGGCTAGGAGGTCAAGCCTCCTAGCTCTGTCGTGGGCTTACTGAACAGCAGGACTTGGGGGATATGATGGTTAAGAGAACTCGGTTAAACTCTGGCTTAGAGCGCTTATATTACACACTTCCAGCTCTTTCATATCACTTCGACCTGAAAGGTTCTGACTTATTTAACTGTTCGTGCACAAAATCCATGTGTTATTTGCAAATGTTGCATTTGATCTTTAAAACGTTAGCACAGCCCAATTACATACATTTTCTCTTAGTCACTAAATAAAGCTTTTAGAATTATATTTACATTTCTCGATTGCATCTAGATACTTGTCGGATTATTATCTATATGTATAATGTTGTAATTTGGATTATTATCTATAGTGTATACTGTTGTAATTTATGTCGTTTTTATGTTGCGTATTATGGGTCTTATGCTTCGTTTCCAGATTATAATCGCGTATCATGTTCATTTTTTACACAATGTGATAGCTTAGTTTTTCAATATAAAGTTGATACATGTATTGAATCACAACTACAATATGTACGCCCTGTTGTGGAGAACTGCTCGTGAGGTGCTATATCTCAATGTTTACCACGATGCTGCTACCACTCCGACTTTTACGTTGTGTTCATTTTCCTTTATTGTTTTTATGTCGATGTGAACTAGTCAAGCTCTTTAAAACACACCTTTCTCACAGTCCTTTCTTTCTGAACGACAGAACGGAAAATAAGCTTTATTTGCCTTAATTGGATCGGATATTCACCTGGAGCGCTTCGGAAATTCGGGTATTTTAGCCTATTATGAACATGCATGCAGTACGCCAATTCACTACGGTATTATTACCCAACTCTCCACCCTTATTGTCCACTGTAGTTTTTCTGCTTGTAATTCCAGTGACGGCTGCACAACCTTACAGCTTTTTTTTTAACACGAAAGTGTTTTATGCCGGGGCCCACCAAGACTTCAATGACGTATAGCTGTCACGGAAATGGCGTCAAAAATACGCGATAAAAACTCGAAGAAAACGTTCCGTTATCGGGAGTTGAACCCGTGACCTCTGGGTCCATGGCAACAGGTGCCGGGCACGCTATCCACTGCACAATGCATGGCCACATAATTCGAACCCTTCATTACGCCTTTTGTATTTACCACAGCCCTCTCAACGTTTTTGGTAAAGTGCAGTAATCCATCATGACCGTGGTATCTGCAATTAGTTCCTCCAACGCGCCGTTTCTAGGTGTCCGTCTCATTCGGCGCATTTCTAATAGGAGTATGCGCAACTTGGCTACCACCAAACACACCCCCAGAGGGTGGTCACACCCCAAGGGTCTTAGAGTTACCGTATATATGCTACCTCGGTAGCGCAGCAACTCTAAAGCGTCGGTGCCTCTAATGGCATTCATCTATACGAAAACATAGCTATGCAGCGCATAGAGTAAGGCGCCTGCTTCGTCTATATAGATTAGATGTACTAACTCCACTTACGCTCACCCCACAAAAAAGCGGGGCCAGCTAGAAGACCAGGTAGAACGCGCACAGCATTTCCCTATGGTCGGGACGTGGCGTTCAATAACCCAACACGCCGCGAGTAGACAACCTTAGCCCAAATTTTGCTTCTATGCAGTCGCGTTCTTCTGGATGTCCCATCGCATTCTCTGGCTCCGCACTTACCTATGACTGAAAAGGTTTGTGCAATCATTAGTGATGGATGTCAGTCTTCGCAATGAAGACATGTGACTAAGCGTTAACATGACTGCACCCACCTTAGGCGGTGGTATAGATGTCAAATACAAATACATATTGCGCAAGCTCTCTCATGTGAATGTATATATAGTAAACATTAAACTACTTCTGTAAGAAAACGTCTTATTTTGGTGTTGAACCAATTCCTATGACGGATAGATCAGACATGCTATCTTTTTTTTTCAATACATTACTGTGTGGTTGTCACGCCTCATTATTTTCTTCTCAGCCTAGCCATTGCTAAAGAAGATTCTGTCGTTCATGACCCGCACTCTCACTGGAACTAAGACTGGTGGACAAGCTGTTTTAAGTTTCCTAGCATATCTACTAGAGGGAACTCTGGCGCTGCGATCGTTAGCCAAGGGGCTCCAATATGAGTGCAGAAATTCACCCAATCTTCATGCTTGGGGATTCGAACTAATTTTTGGCCTTATGTATAGTCGCGTTTTGGCGTTTGTTTTGATTAAAAACATGAATCCTTGTCAAATTTCGTGAATGAATTTTGAGTTCTGAGCCTAAAGGCAGTGAAGTGGTGAAGCGGAATTGTTAAACATCTGCTGAACGTCGCCTTTCGGCAAAGCGTGTGCAGGCGACACGCAGTCACA